TTCGAAGGTGGAGGTACGAAGTACCTCCATCTTCTGATGGGTGGGGTAGAGCCCCCGGACGGGACATATGTACGCCGTACACTCTTCCCTGAAAGGGAAGAGGAATAGATTGTGCATGGGCCCACGCCCTTTTAGGGCGGGTCCTTAGCACAATCGCACCCATCCCCCCATAAGCTTCGCTTGTGGGGGATAGAAGATGGTGGGCTAACCCACCACCTTCGAATGGGGGAAGGAGGGTGATTGGGCGCGGCTGATTTTTTATGGGCAGCACTTAGTGCTGTCCTCAAAAAAAATCGCCGTATGTTATACCCCGAGTGGAAACTTGTCAAGACTTAAAATTGATAGACCCCGCCGCCGTCCCTGTCTGGTCTGAAGGACCATGCAGGGACGGTTCGTGCGCATGACCTTATAAGCCGATTTTGTATCGCATCATAGTAGGAATATGCGGTGACAACAAATCTGGTAAAACCGGAACAGAATAAGAAGGAACAGTTGCTCCCCCCATCCGAAGGTGGTGGGTGTAACCCACCATCTTCTATCCCCCACAAGCGAAGCTTATGGGGGGATGGGTGCGGCCCATGGTGTTCTATAACCAGAGCCATATTGATTTTTGTAACATTTTAAATTCCATTAGTGTATTTTACATTTGTGTTAAATAACACCAAGTCGCTGCGATCGAATAAAGCTCAAGCTTTATTCGGCCCTAGCAGACTTGGTGCACCTGCATGCAGGTTTTTATAGTTCCCCCAAGCCATGCGGAGACCCCTGGAGGCCCGAACAGGGGAGGGCTGATCTTACCTCCGAAATCGGACGCGAGATAAGCTCCCATTACGATCATCGTCAAACGATTCAAAAAACTCTATAATTGAGTCAAACATTTAACTGTTTAAATCCTTCTCTTTTATGTTTTTATAACACCAAGTCGCTGCGATCGAATCGGCCCTAGCAGACTGGGTGCACCTGCGGGATACTCCATCGTTAGATGGAGCTTGGCAAGCAGGTGTTATTTATATTACTCGGAGAGTAATGCACTGGAATTGATTCTAAAATATGGGTTAGAAGATCCATAGGTGAACAATGCGTAGTGGGTCAATCAATCCGTTTCTATAATAGAACGAGATTGATACACACGTAACTAACACCAATTTTTATAGGGACCGATGGCCCATCCACCCGTCAGAAGGTGGTGGCTGCGGGGAAATGATATTTATCATTTCCCCGCATCCACCACCTTCGAACGGGGGGCAAAAAATTAGGTGCGCCGAATCGAAGATTCCGGCGATTGGATGACCAACATCTTACGATAGATTGTTCATCCACATGATCCATTATCGTTAGGTAAAATTGAATATTTCCCCTAAATCTGGTGAGGGCCCATCAAAATTTAGCCGTTTTGCATCGTAGATGCAAAAGATGCTAATTTTCTGTTTCTAATACTCCCTCAGTCTTTCGAGGGCTCATTCTATATTTACTATAAAGGGAGTTCATAAGAGGTTTAAAGGAGTTCCTTTAGGATGCCCCGCCAAAAAAACAAACAGACCCGTACTCGCCTGGATCAGCGCGGAGCGCTGGCCCGGGCGAGAGCGAGCTCGCCGCGAGCGCGGCCTCTGCCCCCCCATTCGAAGGTGGAGGTACGAAGTACCTCCATCTTCTGATGGGTGGGGTAGAGCCCCCGGACGGGTCCTGTGTACGCTGGAATCTTCCTCCTTGTAGAACTACCCAACAGCAACCACTGCCCCCCCATTCGAAGGTGGTGGGTTAACCCACCATCTTCTGATGGGTGGGGGCACAGCCGTGGTTGGATTCAGCGCGCCTGATTTCTGATGGGCAGCACTGAGTGCTGTCCTTACAAAAATCGGCGACAGAATATAACACCAATTTTTCTACGGACCGAAGGCCCATCCACCCGTCAGAAGGTGGTGGCTGCGGGGAAATGATATTTATCATTTCCCCGCATCCACCACCTTCGAACGGGGGGCAACAAATTAGGTGCGCCGAATCGTAGATTCCGGCGGTGGAATAGCCTTTACCAGGATCGAACTGGCATTGGCCGCGTGAAGGGCGGCAGTATTAACCATTATACTAAAAGACCTTTACTTACCTACCCCTATTTTTTTTAAGGACCGTAGGCCCATAAAAAAATAGGAGTTTTGCATCTGGCACCCGTCCCCCCATAAGCTTCGCTTGTGGGGGATAGAAGATGGTGGGTTAACCCACCACCTTCGGACGGGGGCAAGATGCAAAATTTCAATGGACTTGGTGTTGGCGTCTCTATTAAAGAGAGACGCAGTTTAAATTATAAGGGTCCCTCTGTGAGGGACTTTACCGGGACGTCTTTAAGGTTGGATGATTTATATCCATCCCAGAAGACCTTGAAAATTAGGGGAATCTCTGTAGAAGATATACTTCGGGTCGCCCGTGAGTTAAAAACTCACGGGCACCCCGTAATTTTCCCTCTTCCTTTTAAGGAAACCACGGCTCTCTTTAATAAAAACGCACAAAAATCATTTGTTGTTTCTCTTCCCTTTCAGGGAAGAGTATTTAAAAACATAATTTTTGGGAGCTGGCGACATCAGGAATCGAACCTAAACTAGCAGTTCATGAGACTACTGTGCTACCAATACACTTTCTCGCCTATCACACATTTGAATCTTTTAGGCCGTGGAGGCCAGCGGGTCACGCTGCCTCCACGGACCGCGCTTGTTAAAAAAGCTGTTTATACACTAAGCTATAGTAGATCATTATTTGTTGGGTATTTTTTTTAGTATAATTAGACTTATGTACTCACATAAAAACAAAAGAAAACCAGCATTTCCTACTGCAGCTGAGCTGCAGTCCCCGTATGGTCCCTCTATGAGGGACCATCATAGCGCCCTTAATTTGGCACGGACCTATAGGTCCCTAGCCCCGCCAGTGACACTGGCGGGGGTTTGGTTAATCTGCCGAAATGTTCGACTCCGAGAAACATAACACGAGTCGGCATGTCTCTCAAAGTGGTAATCACCAGTCAAGGAGACTGTTTAATTTGCCATCGAAAAATTGAACTGGGTTGGTCTGGTCAGACCAACCAAGTTCAATCACAATAGCAATTAAAATTTAAGAAAGAAACCTTTAGTAAAGGTTAGCCTCGTAACTAAGATTAGTTTGAAATATTTTGACAAATCCATGGTATACTAAAGTATAACCATGGATTTTTGCCGGTAAAATAATATATTTAAATTACTATTTCTTATATGTTTTTTTATTCTCCTAAAAAAATTAGTGTGGTATTGTAAACGCCGAGCCCGCTATCCCAAGTATAGCCTAGGATTTAGGCCCGGGCCAGCGCCTTGCGCTGATCTACGGCGAGAACGGGACTTTATTCTGGGGAGAATTTGTAAAAGAACAGGTCGCAAAATAATTTATACTCGAGTAAGGTTTCATACTTACACGTTGCCTTGCTTTAACGAGCCCGCCGACCCAGGCTCCAATAACAAAGTTATTTCCGCGAACCACCTTTAGGTGCTCCTATTTTTTTTAAGGACCGTAGGCCCATAAAAAAATAGAAGTTTTGCATCTGGCACCCGTCCCCCCATAAGCTTCGCTTGTGGGGGATAGAAGATGGTGGGTTAACCCACCACCTTCGGACGGGGGCAAGATGCAAAAGTTGCGGACAAGAGCTCTCCCAGTCGCACCCATCCCCCCATAAGCTTCGCTTGTGGGGGATAGAAGATGGTGGGCTAGCCCACCATCTTCGAATGGGGGGGGCGGAGTGAACTCCCGGGCCGCTCCATCTAACGATGGAGCGGCCCGGGAGTCCACTAACTATTCTATGTTAATGGCAGCCGTCAGAAGATGGTGGGCTAGCCCACCACCTTCGGACGGATGATTCAAAAAGTAGTTCCCCATAATATCTTTGATTTATTAACGCCTTTAGGACTTTGTTACTGGCCCCTATTTTTTTCTTGCCAGTTAGTGTACGGCTTAAGCCGTACTCTAACGGACCGTAGGCTTTCCCCTGTGTACGGGTAAACCCGCACACAGAGGAAAACATCACAAAATACCAGTTTTGCATCTGGCACCCGTCCCCCCATAAGCTTCGCTTGTGGGGGATAGAAGATGGTGGGTTAACCCACCACCTT